GGATTAGTGGGAAAGGCAGCCAATCGTAAGTGACTACAATTTACGTCATTTTTATGTCGTCGTATCGCAAGAAAAATTCAACTCAACTTAACAGTCGCAAGCACTCGTTTTGGACTCTGGATGGAGTTCAACGTCGTAAGTTCAACTTTCGTAAACGGCTGAAAATTACTGGTTTGTCTGCTGCCCAACACGATCAACGCAAACGTCGTTGACGTCGTCATTATTTCAACTTTGCGTAATCGTAAGAAACGTATGAAACGTAAGAAATTCTGACTTTTACGTCGACAGGAAACCAGGCTTTATCTGCTGCCCAACACGATCAACGCAAACGTCGTTGACGTCGGCATTATTTCAACTCTGCGTAGGAGTCGTAAGAATCGTACGAAACGTATGAAACGTAAGAAAATCTGAACAGGAAACCAGACTTAACATTTCGTAATTTTAAGCATGCAAAAAGCAGGGTATTCACTGTATAATAGTATAACTTAAGACTTTTACTACTTCTGTGATAATATAGATCATTTAACTACATTTTGACTCATTATCTTTTATGATTAACATTATAATACAAGGCCTGTTACTCTTAACATCAGGTAGACATGGCTTTGCCGGCGTAGGCTATACGGTATTAGGCATTTTTCGTTTTTTGCGCGACCTACTACGAACTAATGGAGCGTGACGTCAACTCAATTATGCTGTTCGCCTACTACACTGACAGCTGTTTTCGTTTTTCCTAATGTATCATTCGCAATTTAGCTGCAAAGCTACAATGATGATATTTTGAAATAAAACTTGAACTTGAACTTTAGGGCGACTACGGTTACGCAGCACACGTATGGAACGCCGTTAATATCTCCGGTTATGTGTATTCGTTATGACGTTATGTGGTATGGCCATGACGTTATGTGGTTTGGTCATGATGTATGCAGTTTGGTCATGATATTATGTGGTTTGGTCATGATGTATGCGGTTTGGTCATGATGTCATGTGGTTTGGACATGACGCTATGTGGTTTGGACATTGTACGTTATGTGGTTTGGACAATATGTTATGTAGTTTCGACCATGGAGGTCTATTTTTTTCCTCCATGTTTCGACATAGCGTTCGAACGTCCTTTTGAGTATGTGAAGAAAACGCCTTTAGCACATATTATTGGTAGACATTTTGAAGTGTTGACCATGAAAAAACGGCCCAAATCAGTGGTGCGTAATAACCAACAAAAATAAAATAAGCTTTGAGGCAAAATTTTTGATATCATGCTAACCATATCATAACTCCTTCACGGATAGTCGTATCATATTAATTTCTAGGGAAAATATTCTTAAAAGAGTATTCTACATCACAATGATTTAAAACAAATGGAAGGTAAAAGTTGTTTTCGCATTTTTATTAGTTTTCGAGGTTTTTAAATAAAAACTGACCGAGTGCATCCTCCGCACACATCTCATAAATATTCTCTGTATATACAAGATGTTATGTTAACGGACAATGAAATAAAAAATAATGATAAAAACATAGACATCATGGGATTCGAATCCGGGACCGGTAGCGGGGAAAACACTCTTCCAACCGTACTACACTAAACTGTTTTCACGTCACATGTATCGCTGTATACTAAGAAAACCAAGGCTGAAATATTGCTTAAGAAAAAAAAAGAAGACAGCAGAACAAATTGAGGCTAAGGTAAAATTTCAAAAGGGGTTTTTATTTAAAAACCTCAAAAAACCAATAAAAATACTTTTAAAAAAATCTGTATAGTCTGTACCATAGAGAAAATAGTTCTATTTTCTTTATGGTGTAAATGTACGGTAATACCCTCTAAAAGACATTTTAGTAATAAACTGTATAATACTGATGTATATTGATTTTTTTAATCTTTCAAAAGTGTGTAAAATAGGAACAAAACAAAAAAATTTTCAGCCTGAAATTGGCAAAACAATAAAAACACTAGCCTGGGCAAAATGTTGCTGGTTCTTATAAAAAAATAATAGAGAAAAAAAAAACCAAGCGGCAGCACGAGAAAGCGCACTCCTGTTGTTGAGACGGCGACACCACCACTACCGCGTACACGCAGGTACTCCGGCGACAGTATGCTGGGCTCCGGTAGCTTCCACCTTGGATAAGCCTCGGCTCTACTACCGTGCACTGCTAAGGTGGCAACGCCGGTTCAAGTAAGGGAGTTGCGACTTTAAGGAACACTTAAATACTCTAAAACACTTAAATTAAGTACTCTAGAACACTTAAAAACTCTAAAACTACAATTGTAAAAAGATAAACTTTAAAAAAGGTGGGTTTTTAATTTCTTCTTAAATGTATGAACGGAAGTTGCTTCACGGATAGAGGCTGGTAGGGTGTTCCAAAGTATTGGTGCAGCGACAGAAAAAGCCCTATCACCGTAAGTGTTTAGTCGCGATGCAGGAACGGATAGTATGAATCTATTGGTCGTTAATCTCAAAGACCTACTACTTTACAGAACGTGACGTTAGAAGTTAAGAAATGTATTCAGGAGTCTTGTTGTGCAGGGCTTTGTACGCCATGAGCAGAATCTTGATGTGATGCACTTGTCAATTGGTAACCAGTGTAGATGATGGAGAACAGGTGAAATACGTTCACGCCTGGAGACTCCAGAGACTAAACGAGCTGCCGTGTTAAGGCATAGCTGTAGTCTCTATTTAGATGGCAGGCGGGAAGACCATACAGAATTGCATTGCAATAATCTAGCCGTGATGTTATAAGTGCATGAACTAACTTCAGAAGAGAATTTTTTGTTAGGTACTTTTGAATATGCTTGATGATGCGCAGATGATATGAAACCGACTTACAAACGGTGTATATGTGTTTCTCCATCTTCATTATAGGATCAAAGACAACCCCTATATTACGGACTTTGGAAGATGGTAGGACATTGGTGTTACCAACTACAACACCATTAATAGGAGGTGGTCTTCTAAGGTGCATTGAATGAAAATAGAGTACTTCAGTCTTACAAGGATTAAAGAAGAGCATGTTTTGTGACAACCAGGACTGAAAATCAAATATGTATCATATGTTTATAATGCATATAAATCATCAAGAAGGGGTGGGTGAAATGTTCGAGTGGGGGTGGTGGTGCATCGTGTAGCATCGACCTCATTCGTTGAGAGCGACGCTGCACGATGTATCATCGTGTCCTTTGTTCGAGCACTGTGTTTGCCTTTCTTTGATGTGTTTGGCCTCGGGTTTGAATCCCAAGATGTCTACTTTGGTCCGCGAAAAGCGCTGACCCATGAGCCATACTGCTGTTCTTGTTTTTGTTCTTGTTACTAAAACTTTTAAAAATTTCAAAGTGTCCAGATCGCTAGTTTTTAACGGACGTGCAGGAAAATTTATACACTTAAACTAGAAGGGGTTTTCTTTTTTAAGTTGTACCCCAGGGCTCCCCCTACGCTTACAAAAATCAAAACAGTAAGGACTGTACATTATTGCCATTACCATTATGTTTGTGAGCAAAATGACGTAGAATAATATCGACCAATCAACGTAGTTATTTTCTCAATGCATGACTATTGTCTGCTATTTATTTCAAACTTGTGCAAAAAAATCGTAGATGCGTTCTGGATTTATATGATTAAGCTCGCCGAACTCAAAAGAGACGGGACTAAAATTTATGTTAATATCATAAAGATTGACTGATGCAGATTCATCTATCCAGGTTGACAATTATAAATAAAAATTAAAACTTTATATCTCATATATATCTCTTTATATATCATTGTGAACAAAACTACAGTGATAGTCAAAAGCTTCAAAGGTAAGTTTTCTTCCAGATATATAACGTTTTAAGTTATATTTATAGGCCTAATCATAAACATTATTAGTCACTACATGTCGCTTTGATTGTGCTATAATTTGCTATAATAATAACGATTTTGATTTAACATTTTCCTTTCCATTTCGATACTGCTGTAGGCCTAATTTGTGTATGTGACGTTACGTTGTTAGTGGGTTCATTTCACCGGAATTATCTGTAATAGAGGAAGAAAATTAACAATCAATTAATCAATCAGTCGATGAATGAATCAATCAGTCAATCAATCAATCAATCGGTCAATTGGTATATTATTGAACAAAACAATGTTGGTATATTATTGAACAAAACACTATTCTCCACATACCTTGACGCTTCATAGGAATAAACACTCCTGAATTTGATCTGTCGTAACAAATGGTCGTCTTGCTATTGCACTCTTTGGGTGGGCAAGGAGGCTTAGTACATTTACAGTTAACTAAAACCAACACTACGAACAAAGATAGTAGGGCTACCCGGACGCCTGCCATATCTGAGTCTGAAAAGATAGCAATTAAGACAAAAACAATGATCTATGTTTTCACAAACACGAAAAGACAATAACTTCAATTTCGACTAAAACAACGTTTTGAGAAATATGCGTTTGAATTTCACTATTCAAGATATAAAAATAATTTAAATATTTGTTTACATATTATGTTTAAATATAAAGCATTAAACAATTAAAATGTTAATTAACATGAACAGTTTGTGAAAATGGTAAAAATAAACTTGTGGTACAATGAATTTGGGTTTTGGAAAACGAAAATCTCATTTTACGCGCTGTATACGCGCGGAGTCCGTTGTCAAACTCCAAACTATATTTTAGCATGTTTTAACATTGAAGTCAAGGATGATTATAGGCCAAAAAACTAGGTTTATCCTGCTTAAACCATTATGTTTTTAATAATAATTCCACACTCGATGCATGTGTATAGGACTTTTCCAAGTTATACAGTAAGAAGAACACCGCTATGTCAGGGGAAAGCTAGGGAATCTAATCTTTACGTCACCCCTGCCATGGAGATATTTCCTCCATGCTGCCCTACCCATAGCAGGCCTTCTACACGATCACAAATATTACAAAACCGCACGCGTGTCTTTTGATTTCTAACCCATTGAAATTTTGTTTCTGTTTGTGAAAACGTGATATTGTAACTCATTGAAATTTTGTTTCTGTTCGTGAAAACAAAAAATCAATATTTTCTCTGTTTGTTCGCTATGGAACTAGTTTAATTAACCTAATAATGTTTTTCAATGTAGATGTACATAATCAACATTTCAAAACATATTGAAAAAATATGATTTTTCTAGTTTGGTCTCTTTGTGATGTCGGCGGTGGGGCTGTTTTTGTCAATTTCAATTAAAAATATTACAACGTTTCATTACTATAGATTGCAACTAAGGCCAATATACATTACGGTATTGAATTATGCTATGTTAGAATAGGGCTATGTGACAAAGTCAAATTCCATCCGCTGCTCTTTGTGTTTCAGCTGGAGGGCTGAATAAAGTATAAAAAAGCGCACGGTCTTTCGGGAGAGACGTTTAAGTAATTTCAAGTTCAACTTACTTTAACCACGGAGCCCCAGATCAACACAGGGTTGTTTTCCCAGAGGCAGAGCACATAAATACAAAACACAAGTGCAAGGAAACCCAGAAAACGTATAGTATGGAACGCCATTGGTACGGTACCAAAATCGATCAGTTCACTAATTAAGACAGTACACAGCCTGTTTCCAATTTTCTGGAAATAACGATTTTGATTGAACATTTTCCTTTCCATTTCGATACTGCTGTAGGCCTAATTTGTGTATGTGACGTTACGTTGTTAGTGGGTTCATTTCACCGGAATTATCTGTAATAGAGGAAGAAAATTAACAAGCAATTAATCAATCAGTCGATGAATGAATCAATCAGTCAATCAATCAATCGGTCAATTGGTATATTATTGAACAAAACAATATTCTCCACATACCTTGACGCTTCATAGGAATAAACACTCCTGAATTTGATCTGTCGTAACAAATGGTCGTCTTGCTATTGCACTCTTTGGGTGGGCAAGGAGGCTTAGTACATTTAGCATCGGCGGAGTTAACTAAAACCAACACTACGAACAAAGATAGTAGGGCTACCCGGACGCCTGCCATATCTGAGTCTGAAAAGATAGCAATTAAGACAAAAACAATGATCTATGTTTTCACAAACACGAAAAGACAATAACTTCAATTTCGACTAAAACAACGTTTTGAGAAATATGCGTTTGAATTTCACTATTCAAGATATAAAAATAATTTAAATATTTGTTTACATATTATGTTTAAAAATAAAGCATTAAACAATTAAAATGTTTAATTTATTTCTCTCTTCTTATCATTGATTAACCTGTTAATTAACATGAACAGTTTGTGAAAACGATAAAAAAAAAATAGTGGTACAATGAATTTGGGTTTTGGGAAAACGAAAATCTCATTTTACGCGCTGTATACGCGCGGAGTCCGCTGTCAAACTCCAAACTATATTTTAGCATGTTTTACCATTGAAGTCAAGGATGATTATAGGCCAAAAAACTAGGTTTATCCTGCTTAAACCATTATGTTTTTAATAATAATTCCACACTTGATTCATGTGTATAGGACTTTTCCAAGTTATACAGTAAGAAGAACACCGCTATGCCAGGGGAAAGCTAGGGAATCTAATCTTTACGTCACCCCTGCCACATGGAGATATTTCCTCCATGCTGCCCTACCCCGCATAGCAGGCCTTCTACACGATCACAAGTATTACAAAACCGCACGCGTGTCTTCTGATTTCTAACCCATTGAAATTTTGTTTCTGTTCGTTAAAACGTGATATTGTAACTCATTGAAATTTTGTTTCTGTTCGTGAAAACGAAAAATCCATATTTTCTCGGTTTGTTCGCTTATGGAACTAGTTTAATTAACCTAATAATGTTTTTCAATGTAGATGTACATAATCAACATGTCAAACAAAACATATTGAAAAAATATGATTTTTCTAGTTTGGTCTCTTTGTGATGTCGGCGGTGGGGCTGTTTTTGTCAATTTCAATTTAAAATATTACAATGTTTCATTACTATAGATTGCAAATAAGGCCTATATACATTATTGAATTATGCTATGTTAGAATAGGGCTATGTGACAAAGTCAAATTCCATCCGCTGCTCTTTGTGTTTCAGCTGGAGGGCTGAATAAATTATAAAAAAGCGCACGGTCTTTCGGGAGAGACGTTTAAGTAATTTCAAGTTCAACTTACTTTAACCACGGAGCCCCAGATCAACACAGGGTTGTTTTCCCAGAGGCAGAGCACATAAATACAAAACACAAGTGCAAGGAAACCCAGAAAACGTATAGTATGGAACGCCATTGGTATCAAAATCGATCAGTTTTTAATAGTCCACTAATTAAGACAGTACACAACCTGTTTCCAATTTTCTGGAAACTTGCAAGTGATGAAGGACTATGACCAATTTCTCTAAAACAAGTGACAGCTTGAAAGTCAAAAGATAAATCTCCTTTTTAATATTGTTATTGTAATTAAAGTAATTATTGTCTGGTATTTCATTTGGAAGCTGTGGACCTATTTATACTTTTAATCGGAATAACATAACGAAAATTTTTCCAAATATGTTTAATATTGCTTTTATTCTCAAGGATAACATTGAAATGAATTCATTTTTTCCTTTCGTATTATCCTATTTATTTTGATATCTTCAAAACATTTAGGTTGTGAAACAATGGGTCTCCTTGTCATTTAAGTAAATCCTATGGGGTTGGTGATAAGCCATTAAATTAAACGCTAGCATTTAGTATGTTGTTTTTGGACATTTTGACTATTATTCTTAGATTTACTATATACCATATATAAGCGAGTGATTACTTGCTGTAAATAACTCCTTTGCAAACAATTTTAGGAGGAAATTTGAGGCAAATGTAACGTCAATATGTGTGATGACTGTTCTGAGATACGAATGGGCGCTGAGATCAATTGTTCAAAGTGGAATTCAATACGTAAATCTCTCAATTTTAGTGTATTGAGGAAGATAAAGAAAATCAATTCATACCACTTTGGAATAAGATATCTTTGCCTTCAGACTCAACAAATGTAATCAATTCCATTAGATAAAGCAACAGAAGACCATGACACTCCGTACCACAACAAAACAATAATTGGTTTACATTTAAGGTGATTAATTCTAGAATTGTAGACACAAAATATCATTTTTATTCTATGATTATAAGTTTCTTTAATATATGGTGACACCCCCACGGCGCCCTGTCGAATTTAAATAGGCTACTGTATTATTTCTAAAATACAGTAGTTTTCAATATTTATATTACTATCAGGGATTTTTTTTATAAAAATGTTTCAAACATTGAGCCTGTGTGCAATATTGAGTTTTTTTTTGTCGAAAAAAAATTATTCTGTTTACAAAATTTGTACATTATCCTATGAAAGTCGCACGTTTCAACTAAAATTTAAAAAAAAACCAAAAATCTTACCTATTCCGTGTTTGTATGAGTGGTTCTCAGCAAAGGATCCTGTCGGATTGGAGTCGTGAAATAACACAACAATCTTCATACAGCCTTTATATAATCCAGCTGAAATCAAACACCTGCTTGATATATAACAACATTAATTGAACAACATAAACTGGACTGTGTATATAAAGGTGTTTGGTTATAAATAATATAACCAAAGTCAACATAATTTATTGTTTGATATTAATTTTAAAAGAAAATGTGCATGTTTGAAATACTAAATAGTAGAAAGTAAATAGTTTTAAAGTAAATACTAGTTATTAAACATAAACATTGACTTACCATGCAGTGTAGAAAATTATAAACTTGACTGTGTGTTAGATGGTTACAATTGGCTTAGAAATATAAATAATCCAGTACATTATATTAGCATATTATATTAAAATGGCAAAACAATGTTGACTGTTAAATGCTGACATATGCAGTACTGGATATGCTCGTAATTATAAACCTATTATACAGTAAAGTAGTGCATACCGTAGTTTTCTAATTAATTTAAGTTGTGGTAATTTAGTTGGGCAGCAGTAGACCTATAATAAGACACTAGAGAACACGAACGCTGTGGGTTCTTTAATTCGTATATTATTAATTAGGCAATATTGAACAAACCAGTATTTGTTATAAAATTCTTCGAACGCTCGGTTTTTATTCTAGGGATAGAAAATTCACGTTGACATCTTAAGTTGTAATGCTTCTCCCTAGCTTTAGGCAAAAGATGATTTAGCCTATGCGTTGAGGTTTTGAGCTTCTGGAAATAGTCCCTGCACAACCGGGTTCGCCTCTCTGACAATAAAGGGATATTTAAAAAGGAGCTTGCACATTCGTAGCTAACACCAGGTAAAATAAGCCCTAAAGCCCTACTTTGGATTTGTTCAAGCTATTTACTCTGTGTTTTAGTGATACAAGTTCCCCAAACTGGAGTTGCGTATTCTAAAACGGGACGTATAACAGCAACATAATAGCGAATCATACCCGGGACACATAGGCCAGATCTACGTAATCGTTTGAGGAAATACAATCTGGTATTACCCTTGGAAATCATAGTATCCACTTGCAATTGCCAAGACAGGTCACTCGAAATATCAAGACCTAAGAGTTCACGAATTAACGTTGTTAATTATATTGTTATTGATACTGACAGGGTCAAAGTTTGATTTATTAGATTTGCAGCTAATTAGCATTTCAACAGTTTTATTGGTATCGATAACCATATGATTATCAAGAGTCCAATCAACTGCTATATCAAGAATTGACTGGAGCCCACTAGATCTGTCTCTGCCAATGCGCTCATAGACGGTAGTGTCATCCATTATTTGATGCACGACACTCCGGCCATGAGGTCATTGACAAAGACAATGAAAAGTTTGGGCCCCAGAAGAGCCTTGTGGTATCTCCCCCATTCAAGGAAACCCAACTAGAAAAAAACAGTTCCAAACTAATACGCTGCTTTCTGTCACAAAGGAAAGATGCCACCCAGGAAATTAAGGCAAAATCAACATCAAGCCGTCTTAGTTTATCAATAAGGACATTGTGGTCCACCAGGTCATAAGCTTTTTTAAAATCAAGAAGGAGCACTCTGACCTCTCGGCGAACATCAGTAGCTTTGTAGCATTCATGGAGAAAGTTAACTAATGCGTCAACCGTTGATACCCCTTTAGAGCACCCAAACTGTTAAGGATGATTTTATCCTTAACTTGCTCCCATATTCTTTCACCAACTACCCTCTCTAAAATTTTAACTGTACATGATGTTAAGGAAATTGGCCGGAGGTCTTTTTCAACTGATCTAGGGGGTTTACACTTTGGAATCGGAACTACGTCCGCACACCTCCATATCTCTGGGATAAACCCCTCTCTTATACTACAGTTAAAAATTGAGCACAAGGGGTTGGCTAAAATATGAGAGAACTCTTTTAGGACCCAAGAGGGGATACAATCCGGGCCTGGGGCTTTGTTAGGCTTAATTTCTTTAAGCAAAGACTCAACCTCAAGAGGAGTAACCAGCGTGACCACTCACAATTTTTGATATACCCAATGACTGGGTCAAAATTACCCAAGCTTCCTGAAAATGCATTAAAATTTGAAAAAACCGTGTTTTTCGCATGTATAATTTCCCTTTTAGTTCAATTTATAAACCCTTTTTTATTGTAATTGCTTGTGTTAATTATTAAAATGAATATTCATGAGGTGATAATACGGATAGAAAAATACCCCCTCAGTCGGCCAGTGTTATCAGTAGTAATAGTAGTGATCAAGTTTTATTATGTAATGCATTAATTAGGTAAGATCAATGGCAACGCAAATCACAAATAAACAATTCTGAACCTATGCTTATAGCAATTAACAGTCAATTAACAATGTTATGTGCACTTCGTGGAGTTTTGCTTACTTGAATCATCTTGAATGGATTGAAATATACTTAATTACTTCTTAATTCTTCCTCTATGACAAAAATTTAATTGTAGTAAAAATAAATTACCCAAAGATTTGAACGGAATACCCAAGAACCCAAGACCAAGTCAAAATACCCAAGATCTTGGGTAAATACTCAAGCAGTGGTCACACTGGGAGTAACAATCAGATTGTCAAGTAATGGGCAAACCCTCTCCTGGTTTTCAGAAGGCTTAAGAGCAATCAAACCTGAGGTGAGTGATTGAAAAAAACATATTGATATTGTTGGCAAGCAAAACAACGTCGCCACCACAGACCTCATTGGCCAAAACCTTAACAAAGTTATTATTCTACCTCCCTAAGTTTAAAACTGATTTACTTCCTCCCACCATGAACGAGAATCTGATTTGAATAAATGTTCTAAATTGTTCTTATAGAATTTTCTCCTAAGAGACACAGCAAGACGGTTTACTTTGTTACGGAGACGCTTGTACTGCTCAGAATAGCTGTCTCTGTTGAATGCAACTTGACGCTCGCGTATAGCCTTCTTAAACACATTATTAACCCATGGTTTGTCTCGGCTGTCTTTCTTAACAGTAACAATAGGGAAATGTCTATCAATTAAAATCATCACTTGGTCACTATAAAACTTGAACTGACTTGCACAGTCATTGTAGACTTCTTTATAACTGTGTACATGATTCTGTTGTTCTCGATAACATTGAAATCAGTAGTTATCGTGTCAGTAAACTCTTTTTTTCCCCATTTGCTGGCTAATATAGATTCTGCTAAGTACGGGTACAGCATTCCAGGCTGTTTCAGAGTATATGGAATAATTTACCTCTTGATATTAAAGATTCTTTTGTTTGTGATAGCTGGGGTACTTTCAAAGGGAAAATTAAACATTATTTTAGACAATTTCGTTCATGGGATTGTTAATTGCTTTTCCTCCAACTGTATCTATTTAGGTTTTTTAGTTTATTTTTAATTATTTATTATTATAAGAACTAATATTTGATAAATCTTTTTTGTTTTAATATTTAATCTTGACTTTTCTTTGTTATATTGGCAAATATCTTTTTTATTTAATTTGTGTTTAATATTGAAAATGGAGTCGGAAGGGCACACCATATCCGGTGATAGTTGTTTTCGTACCGCGTTTGTCACTCCTCAGCCCTCCTCTTTCTTTATTGATTTTGTTGTACTGTGCTGAAAGGAATAAAATAAAAAGAAAAACTGTATACCTATAAAGCTATGGATTATTAGAGTATGCATATATGCCGAATAGTGTCTTGAATTACTTGAATAAACCAGTAATATATTATATTTTCTCAAATTGGCATTTCGTGGCAACAATAAACAATATAAACAGTAATTGAAGAGCAAATGATAGAACACGTTTATGAAAATTTCCAATGTGCTTCCAAAAACCTTCATGCATTGTTTTTATATTAGTGTATTCTCAGTTTTAATATTACTTTTTACAGAGGATCGGTGTCGGGCTATAACTTTCTTTTTTCTAGCTAAAGATGTTTGGTTGGGCCGCACACATACCGGTAGGGTTTTTTATTTCACTTTCGCGGGCCGCAAAAAAAATCACTTTTGGGCCGCACCTCGTGCACATGTGGCTTAGCCAATTATAAAATTATCTTTAAAATAAATGAATACATTTAAAATTACCATTAAATTCAATTTTGAAAAAGATAAGCGCTTTATACTACCCTGTCTCTTATACACA